GAGGAGGGAGGAAGGAAGATAAGGTGGGAAAGGGAGGAAGGGAAAGGAAAGGGGAGGAAGAGAAAGGAAAAGACATCCCATTTGTAGAAGCCAGACCAGAACTTGACCCTTGTCCTGTGTTTCTGAGGGGCCTCAACCACGCCTCTGTATTTTCATTTTGGGCTAGAAACGGGTTGGAAACCATTTAACTTCCCAGGGCTCTGAAGTTAAAAAAAAAAAAAAAAAAGGAGATCTCTTGGTCAATGAGAAGGTGCTGGATGGTCTGACCACCCTTTCTGCTAAGGGGATTCACAAAGATATGAAGATAAGCCATCTTCACTGGGCCTAAGTGTTACCCGCTGTTTACCAGTGTCGAGTCCTTGCTTCCCCAATGCTGAAGCATAACACCAGAGAAGCACAGCGAGGCAAGTGGAAAGTAGAAGCTTTATTAAGGACAGCAAAAAAGACTTCTCCCCTGTGGCATGCATTTCTGTCCTTTGTTCTGTTATCGTGCAGTGTTGAAATGTAGGTGGGAAGGCCCAAAAGGTGTGGGACAAAAGGGCTGGAGGAGTAATCTGGGCAGGAAGGGCCTGGGGCGGCTTTTGATTAGCACCTCCTTGTTTGCTGGGAGCTGCTTCATTAACATTTCCTTAGGATGGGCTCTTGGCCTTGGGAACATTAACATTTCGATTTCCCCAAGTGCTGCTCTGTTTTCCTGGGCTCCATTCTCTATAATGGCCTCCATTTTGTTTATCCTACTAGATGTTAGACCCCATTTACCTAACTATACTACCTATCTTTAAATCTGGCTTCATAAGGAGCACCTGTCCGCAAGCACAGAAGTTTGTTGTTGGGGAGACAACAAGATTCTAGTGTGACAGTGGCACCCCTAAGGAACAAACCTCTGGCAACCAGGAAAGGGGGACATGCCCTCAGTCACCAGGGCCCTTAGGGAGGCCCCCGAGCCTCACCTGGCATGCTCTAGGGTGAAAGTCCCTAGAAGCCCAGTTGGAGAGGATGGCAAGCCATTTTCTATCTTCCCCCAGGTTTTCCCATCCTGGTGCCCAACAAAGTTGGTGGTGAATGATGAGCATAAGGAGTTCCCGCTGCCCCAAGTCCCAAAGAAGTATAATTTTAAAAATGGGTCAGGCATGAGGTACGAGGCCATTCACGTCCGCGAGTGCCTGCGCAAAGGTAAGAATGCAGAGGCCACCGCAGGGGTCAGGCCTGGAAGGGGTTAGGCCCTCTCCACCCACCTTCTGATGCTCTAGTGGCCGGTTTGGAACTACATTTCCCAGGATGCCCCGGGGCACCCACCTATCTAAACCATGCCTGTGCCTTGGGGATTCTGGGAATGATCATTTTTTGTTTTTGTTTTTGTTTTCTTTTTGGTTGTGGTGTTTGACTTGGAGGGTCCCTAACTGCCTTCTCTCCTCAGGCCTCAAGGAAAGTCCTGTCATTCCTCTGGCAGAAAGTGAGCTGCTGGCTGAGATCCTCCAGGAGGTGAGGAAGATCATTGGAGTCACCTTCTCCCAAGACGAACGCTGATTCCTGTCCTGAGTAAATAAATAGTTTCCGTGGAAATCTTGGATCTTGGCAGTGTTTTGGCAGGAACTGGAGAGCTCACCAGCAAAGGTCACTAGAGTGCAATTTCGTGGAATGATGTGAGCTGGGGGAGGAAGGCGAGGTCAAGGCCACGTTTCTCACAAGCTTCTGGGGCAGATACTCTCATGGCCTCTCTGGAGTTTGGCCTTCACTCCTTTGGAGGGATTTTTTTTTTTTTTTTTTTTTTTTTTTTAACAAAACAACTTGATTTTTCACACCAGAAATAATTCTCTTTCTGGGCCCCTAAAAGCTTTTGTTCTTCCTGCTCTTCCTGCCTGTAATTGCATGTCCTCAAATTCATTTGTATGAATCAGGCTGTTCATTTTTTAAAAAATATTTTTGGTTGTAGGTGGACACAATACCCTTATTTTATTCACTTATTTATATGTGATGCTGAGGATCCAACCCAGTGCCTCACAAGTGCTAGGCAAGAGCTCCACCACTGAGCCACAACCCCAGCCTAGGCTGTTCTTTTTTTGGTACCAGGGATTGAACTCAGGGGTACTGAGCTATATATATCCCCAGCCCCATTTTATATTTTATTTAGAGACAGAGTCTTCAATGAGTTGCTTAGTGCCTCGATTTTGCTGAGGTTGGCTTTGATCCTCCTGCCTCAACCTCCCAAGCCACTGGGATTACAGGCTTGCACCACCATGCCCGGCCAGGCTGTTCATTTTTAAAGTATCAGAAAAACAACTCAGGGTGGTCAGGAGGGAAGATGGGATGCTTGGTAACTAAACCTTCAGGACAGTCTGGCATTAGGCCGGACTTGTCTTTCTTCATCTCCTCACCTTCCTGAGTGTTGGTTTACTGTCTGAGATGCTGGGTAAGTGTAGGTATGAGGGTAGGAGCCAGTGACCTCTACAAGGGGACAGGGTGTGAATAGCAAGGTCCATAACTACACTGTCCTCCAGCTTCTTTCTTTCTTTGCCCATCAGTAAAAGAGAGATACTAGTACTAACTAAATTCTGGTGGGGAGTCTGTTGATTGGCATCTTATTTCATCTGGGCTGCTCTAAAACAAAATACAGAAAATTTCCAACTTACAATGATTCAACTTATGATCTTTCAAATTTATGATGGTGCAAAAGTGATATACATTCATAGATACTGAATGTTTTTTTAATTTTACAATTGGAATTTTTCCTGAATGGGTGATAGGCGGTCCAATCCTCTCAAAGGGATGAGGCAGTGACAATAAGCTACACTGCCAGTCAATCCTGAGGAAAAGAGAAGAAAAAAGAGTGAGGGGTTGTGGCACACACTGTAACCCCAGCGACTCAGGAAGCTGAGGCAGGAGGATCACAAGTTTGAGGCCAGCCTTGGCAGCTTGGTGGGACCCTGTCTCAAAATACAAAAAGGAAAAGGGGACGGGGAGAGGGGGCTAGGGTCGTAGTTCTGTGGTAGAGCGCTTGCCGCGCATGCATGAGGTCCTGGGTTCGATCCTCAGCACCAAAATAAATAAATAAATAAAAATAAAGATATTGTGTCCATCTATAACTGAAAAAAGTATTTAAGTAAAAAGAATAAAAAGGGCAGGGGTGTTAAATGGTTAAAGTGCCCTTCAATATCCAGTACCCCCCACCCCCCCCAAAAAAAAAAAAAAGGCTTGAGGAAGACCTTTGCTTTGAGGACACAGCAACTAGGTGCCTTTCTTTTCTTTTTTGGTACTGGGGATTGGACCTAGGGGTGCTTCACCACTGAGCCACATCCCCAGCCATTGGCCTCAAACTTTGATCCTCCTGCTGGGATTATAGGAAGGTGCCAATATGTCTGGCAAGGTGCCATCTTTGAAGCAGCGAGGGAGCCCTCATCAGACAATAAATCTACTTGCACTTTGACCTTGGACTTCCCAGCCTCCAGAATTATGAGCAATAAATTTATGCTGTGTATAAATTACCCTGGTTAAGATACAGATGCTACTCGGCTTACAATGGGTTTCCAATTTGATAAAATCCTCATAAATTGAAAATATTGTAAGTCAAACACACTGAACTTGACATGATCCTCAGGACTGTTAAAAAAAGAGGGGCTGGGGTTGTGGCTCAGTGGTAGAGCACTCGCCTAGCATGTGTGAGGCCCTGGGTTCAAGCCTCAGCACCACATAAAGATAAATAAAGGTATTGTGTCCATCTACAACTAAAAAATACTTAAAAAAAAAAAAGAAGGGTTGGGGCTGGGGTTGTAGCTCAGTGGTAAAGCGCTTGCCTAGCACATGTGAGGCATGGGTTCAATCTTCATCACATAAAAATAAATAAATAAAATGGAGGTATCGTATCCATCTACAACTCAAAAAATATTAAAAAAAAAAAAGACAGGTACTTGCTCTGGCAGCACATATACTAAAATTGGAACAATATGGAGAAGATTAACATGGCCCCTGCGCAAGGATGACACGTAAATTCATGAAGCGTTTCATATTTAAACTTGTTTGTTTGGTGTACACACACACAGTCACATCAAAGATGCCTTTAATCCCAACTACTCTAAAGGCTGAGTAAGGAGGACCAAGAGTTCAAGGGCAGCTTGGGTAAGTTAGTCAGACCCTATCTCAAAAAAAAAAAAATATGTATATATATATATATATATACACACACACACACACACACACACACACTGGGGATGTAGCTCAGTGGCAGAGTGTCCCTGGGTTCAATCCACAGTGTCACAAGCACACACATACAATATACCTAATTTATTAAATATCACATCCTAGCCACATAGCACACTGTATATTGTTTCCTCTCTTCTTTTTTTAAGTTTTTTGGTTCTGAGGGTTAAGTCTGTGCTCTAGGCAATGTCTAACTTCTTAGTAGCAGTGAGTACAGTCCCTTGTGTAACCCCCTTTTTGTGTGAGTGCACCAGGCCTACTGATAGTTCTTTGAAGGCATGAGTGAGGGGGTGTTCCTTTCACGGTTCAGTTATAACAGACAATGACTTTGGTCCTCCCTGGACTTTTTCCTCTCTCTTACTCACTTGTTCACTTTGATGAAGAAGCCAGCTGCCAGGTTGTGAGCTACCTATGCAGAGACCCAGGGGCATGGACTGAGGGCAGGTCGGATCTTCCCATACCCCGAGATCTGTTATCATCGTTCAGTTTTTGCCACTTTTTGAACTTCATATTCCTTTAATTTTCACAGAAGACGTAAGGACTCGCAGGACTTCAGTCATTTCAACTTCTGCCAGGATGCACGCTACTCCGGCCTCTGAACCTTGGCACTTGCTGTTCTGTGGTGCGGGGGGCGCAAACTCTCCCCGCAACTTCTGAAAACCGTGCCTGAATGAACCAACGCAGGCAGCGGTGGCGAGTGGAGTGGTACCACGGCCAGCTCTTAATGGGCGGTGCCGACGAGCCACGTGACACAGGCCACGCCCCACACATGTCGTCACGTGACCAGCACCCTGCGGGGCAGCGGCCATTTTGCGGGGCGGCCACGTGAAGGACGCACGTTCATCGGGCAGCTCACGTGACTACAGCGCGCTGCAGCCGCCCGGGCGGACCCGGCGAGAGGCGGCGGCGGCGGTGGCGGTGATGGACGGGTCCGGGGAGCAGCCCAGAGGAGGCGGTGAGGCGGCATGCAGGCTGGGGAGGAGGGCGAGTCCCATTGCCGGCTGGCCAGGGATCCTGCCGCCGGCCTGGGGCCAGGCGATCTCCTAGCACTCGGGGACACAAACTCCCGGATCGGGCGCTGCCAGCCTCCAGCCCCCTCCCTCCTCGGAGCTTCCCGGCTAGCTGGCCTCCGCGCCCCGATCTCTTCCTTCCTGGCGCTCTCGGATCCCCCAAACCCTGCGGATCCTAGAACCCAAGCCCCCCGGGCAGGCCCGGGCTTGTCGCGGGCACCACTTCCTGCCTCTGGCCCGCCGGGAGGGACGGGTCTCACTTCTGCCCCCTCAGGCTAGGGGTCTGGATGCCCTGAGTGTTCCCCCAGCCTCCTCTCCCGGAAGAATGTAGGACACAGGCCCAGGGTCCCTACTTATTTCTCTTTGAGAGACTCACTTGCTGGTCTCCCAGTCACTTTATCTGCCAGGAACCCAGGAGTCCAGGGCCCTCAGGTCTGCCCTCCCTCAGGGACCGTGAGCCATCCCAGTGTCCTGATCCCCTAGGACCCAAGAGTCCAGGCACCTCTTCCCTCCTTTTTCCTCTAGGGCCCACCAGCTCTGAGCAGATCATGAAGACAGGGGCCCTTTTGCTTCAGGGGTGAGTTTGAGGTCTGATTATTGTGGAGCAGATTTGAAGAGTGACACCCCATTCTGATTCTGCACTCCCTCCATTTTCATATAGTTTCATCCAGGATCGAGCAGGACGGATGGGGGGGGACACGTCAGAGCTGGCCTTGGAGCAGGTGCCCCAGGATGCTTCCACCAAGAAGCTGAGCGAGTGTCTGAAGCGCATCGGTGATGAACTAGACAGTAACATGGAGCTTCAGAGGTGTGACTCCTGGGGACCCAGAGTTGAGCTAAGGGTCTCCCCCTGTTGCGTAACCTAGGAATCACAGCCCCATACCCTTGTTTCCCCCATAGGAACTAAGAGTCCCCGCTGCACCACTTAACTCAGACATTCCCTGCCATTCACTCCATCTTGAAAGCTTCCTTCAGGGAATCATTTTTCCTTCCTTCCTGTATGTTCCATCTTGTTCCGTCCCTAGCCCCCATGTGCCTGTGCTTTCCATTTCAGACTGGCTGGAGTCTCAGTTTACTTGCCTTCAGTATGTGGTGGATGCTGTAACTTCTACCCTCTGCCAGATCCTGCCTCCCCAGCATCCGTACTCCTCTTTCCTGCAGGATGATTGCAGCTGTGGACACAGACTCCCCCCGAGAGGTCTTTTTCCGAGTGGCAGCTGATATGTTTGCTGACGGCAACTTCAACTGGGGCCGGGTTGTCGCCCTTTTCTACTTTGCCAGCAAACTGGTGCTCAAGGTGGGCAGCTGCACGGCAGTGAGTCCAGGAATGCTCGCCTCAGATTTGAGGACCTGGGAACCATGGGGTCAACCCCTGCCATGGCCCAGTGACCATAGAGGGAAAGGAGAGAGATGAATGTGACTTGAGAGTACCTTTTATTCATTCAAGAAAAATGCATTATGCCTACTGTATGCTGGGCCTGTACTCAGCCCCCAGCCACAGCCCTGAACAAAGTAAGCTGGGTCCCTGCTTTCATGGAGCTCAGGTTGTATACTTTGAGGAAAGTAGCCAGGAAAGACCTTCAAGAGCAGGTGTCATTGAAGCCAATGTGGGAATGACAAAAAGGATGCTTTGATATATAAAGATCAGGGAGAAGACGCATCTGATAGAAGAAACAATAAGCAAAGGCCCTGAGGTAGGACCAAGCCTGGTATGTTGAATGTAGCAAGGAGGCCACTGCTATTAGAATAGTGAGGTGGGAGCGAGGGTGGATTTGGGCAGGTGCAGATTGTGTGCAGTCTTGTGGGCTACTGTAAACAACTTTACTCTGAATGACAAAGGAGTGATCGGTTTTAAATAAGGCAGTGAGAAAACCTGATTCATAAATTTAAGAGGTTATCCTAAGCAAGTATAGCAAAAATGTTAATTGTAAAATCTAGGTTGCTGCCATCTGGCTGCTCACTCTGAAATTCTTTTAATTTTTTTCTATGAAGAGTCTCATAATACAATATATATATATATATATATATATATATATATATATATTTTTTTTTTTTTTTTTTTTTTTAAGAGAGAGATTTTTCAGTTTTCGGCAGAGACAACATCTTTGTTTGTATGTGGTGCTGAGGATCGAACCCGGGCCGCACACATGCCAGGCGAGCGTGCTACCGCTTGAGCCACATCCCTAGCCCCTCATAATAAAATATTGGCAGGAGGAGCCCAGTGAATTATCCTGGCCATTGTGGGTCAAAAAAGGAATTAAGGCCGGGTATATGGCACACTCCTGTGATCCCAGAGACTCCAGTGGCTGAGGCAGGAGGATCACAAGTATGAGACCAACCTCAGCAACTTAGTAAGACCGTTCTTAAAATAAAAAACAAAAAGTGCTGGGGATGAAGCTTAGTGGTAGAGTTCCTGGGTTCTCTCCCCGGTACTGGGGTGGGGAGGGAAAGGAATAGGAATTATGGTGGATGGAGTATAGCCCAGTGGTAGAGAGATTGCTTAGCATGTGTGAGGTTCAATTCCCTGCACCTCAAAAAATGAAAAAAAAAAAAAAAAAGACTTATAAGGTATAAAGGCCAAGGCAGGGGCACTGGTAGGTGGTACCTGTGATGGTACCCTGAAGATGACTGCCCTAGCCCTAGGTGTGTGTTTGCTGTGGAGCTGGGAAAGTGTATTTCATGATGCTTTTTTTTTTTTTTTTGGTACTGGGGACTGAACCCAGGCGTGCTCTACCACTGAGCCACATCTCCAGCCCCATTTATTTATGTTTGTTTATTTATTTGTTTAGAGACAGATTCTTGCTAAGTTGCTTAGGGCCTTGCTAAATTGCTGAGACTGGCTTTGAACTTGTGGTCCTCCTGCCTCAGCCTCCCAAGCTGCTGAGATTACAGATTTTGCATCCTTGAACCAAATAGTTTCTCTATTTCAAAAGAATTTCTCTATTCTCAACTTAGGATCTATGTATAGTGCAGGTCTCAGATTTTCCCATTTGTAGATTAGATATAATATATACCTTGGCTGTTTATGATATGGCTCATGCGTTCGTTCTAAAGCTAGTGGTCAGTGAGGCACAGAAAAGCCAAAAAGTATTAGTACTGGGGACGGAACCCAGGCCTTGATGTGTTTTCACACATGGAGAATCACACAGTATCACTCAGCTACATCCCCAGTCCCTTGATGTGTTTTCAAGATCCAGCTGATGGGCACCGAATACTGGAAATGAAGGGGACAGCAGTTAGTATCATACTGGGCTGCATTGGGAGCTGGGGACAACAGGAGAGAAGCAGCCAGATAAAGGCTGGGAAGGGTCTGGATGGAGCCAGGTGGGTGGTGGGTGGGAAGGGGTTCTGACCTGGTCTGAAAAAGCTCTCAGGAAGTGACATTTGGCCTAAGTTTTTCTTTTTTAATACTTTATTAATTTTAAAAAATGTATATTGATGCATTATAATTATACATATCAATGGGATTTGTTATATAGTCATATGCATACAACATAATTTAGTCCATTTCATTCCCAGCTGCCTCCCTTTTTCCTCCCTCCTCCCTGCCTGCTGAGTTTTGAGGGGTGAGAATTCACTGGTTGAGCCTGGTTTAGTCAGAAAGATCAGCATGTGCAAGGGTCCTGAAATGGAAGAGTTTGATGCAAGTGAAAATGGACCACCTGGCCAGCGCAGTGGTGCACGCCTGTAACCCAGAAGCCTGGGAGGCTGAGGCAGGAAGATTGCGAGTTCAAAGCCATCTTCAGCAAAACCGAGGATCTAAGCAACTGAGTGAGACCCTGTCTCTAAATAAAATACAAAATAGGGCTAGGGATGAGGCTCAGTGGTCAAGTGTCCCTGAGTTCAATCCCCAGTACCAAAAAAAAAAAATTGCTGCCGATGCAGCTATGCGGTAGAGTGCTGCCCGCGTGCCTGAGATGTACAAGATCCTGGGTTCAATCCCCAGTACCAAAAAATATAAGTAAATAAAATGGAAGGAAGCTAATGGTCAGTGAGGCACAGAAAAGCCAAAAAGTGGAATGAGATCAAGTTAGACCCTTCACACAGGGATTTGTGGGCTTAGCTGTGTCTTTCAGTCTTTATCCTGAGGGCACTGGGGAGCCACAGAGGGTTCATGAGCAGGATAGTTGACAGTGATATAATCTAGTTCACAATTGATGAAACTGACTTTATGGGAGAAGAGGCTGCCAGGGTAGACAGAGAATTGAGAAAGAAGGCTTGGGAGCCTGGGGATGTGGTTCAAGCGGTAGCATGCTCGCCTGGCATGTGTGCGGCCCGGATTTGATTCTCAGCACCACAAACAAACAAAGATGTTGTGTCCGCTGAAAAACTAAAAAATAAATATTAAAATTTTCTCTCTCTTTAAAAAAAGAAAAGAAAGAAGGCTTGGGGACAGGGCTAGTCCCTAACACCCACCCTACTCTCTGCAGGCCCTGTGTACCAAGGTGCCAGAGTTGATCAGAACCATCATGGGCTGGACGCTGGACTTCCTCCGAGAGCGGCTACTGGGCTGGATTCAAGATCAGGGTGGTTGGGTGAGACACCTATCAACACCTCCCTCCTCTGGGACCTTTAGGCCCTCCTGAGGGCCTGCCCCAGGGTACTCCTTCCCTTCCCCTTTTCACATCAGGTCTGGTCAAGAACATTTTACGGTAGATCAGTCCAGTTCTTCTGGAACCCGCTGACCACTCTGTGGCCCGTAACTGGATTCTTGCTTTCGTGCCTTCCCATTGCTCTGGAGTCCCTCAAGTTCACTGATGATCCTTTGACCAAGGTCTTTAATACCCACCGTCCATCTTTTTTTCTTTAGTTGTATATGGACACAATGACTTTTATTTATTTATTTTTATGTGGTGCTGAGGATTGAACCCAGTGCCTCACACGTGCCAGGCAAGGGCTCTACCGCTGAGCCCTAGCCCCAGCCCCCATTTTAGGCTCTTGTCCCCACTCATACCCTCTGTTCTTAGTCTCCCTGATGGCCCACATGCTGGTCCAGAGGTTGACCTTGCTGAGTTCCTGAAGCGATGTCTCTGTCTCCAGGATGGCCTCCTCTCCTACTTTGGGACCCCCACGTGGCAGACAGTGACCATCTTTGTGGCCGGAGTGCTCACCGCCTCACTCACCATCTGGAAGAAGATGGGTTGAGGCCACCAGCTGCCTTGGACTGTCTTTTCTGCATAAATTATAGCATTTTGGGGGGAGGAATGGGGATTGGGGGATGTAGGCATTTTTCTTACTTTTGTAATTATTGGGAGGGGTGGGGAAAGTGGCCTGGTGGAGGTGGGGGACAATAAACTTCCTTCAGGCCACACTTTGGTGTCTACATCACTGGCCCAGCAGCCTTCCTGGCTGGCATCAGGGTGCAGGCTGCCTAACAGCCTGGCCTCCTTAGCCCTCTAGCCACTGTCCTGGAGGTGTCTGTGCCGGGACTTGCATGTTCTCCACTCTCCTCTTTCTCTGGGGGTGCCCAGTGCTATCTGGATTAGGGATGAGTCAGTCCCCCAGTTCCTGTTGTGTAGGAGCCTGAAGTCCTAAGAGGAACCAAAGCTGCCCCATGATTCTGCCTGTGGCCACCCAGGGTGAAATATGTGCTGACAGACCAGTGCTGGTCAAGGTCTGAGCACAAGGGGGCCTTCCTCCTGGCCTGAGGTTTCACAACTGGGAGCCCAGGAAGTTACCAGTTTACTGAAGTGGAGAATAGGGTGGAAGGGACAAAGGACCGGAGGACTCTGGGGCATTGTGGGAAAGCTACTGGAGGTTGGGAGACAGATGGGGGTTTAAGGGAGAAACCCAGACCTCTAAAGCATGGCTGTGGAGGTGCACGGGACTGGGATGTGGCTGACTGAGGCTGAGGCAGCAGAGCCTGGGGCTGGCCCAGTGACTCCCTGGGCCCTCCTGGTCCTCAACTTCCAGGTAGCACACAAGTTGGACCCTCACTTGGGGTTTGGTGGTGCACACCTATGATCCCAGCAACTCAGGAGGCTGTGGTAGGAGGATTGTAAGTTTGAGGCCAGCCTCAGTAACTTGCGAGAGCCACTATCTCAAGAACTGGGAATGTAGCTCAGTGGTAGAGTGCCCCTGGGCAATCCCCAGTATGGCCATCGAATAATAACAGCAGAGGCACTGGGGAGTAAGGAGAGAGTGGGACCCACCCTAGGGAGTCAGTATTCTGCCTCTCTGGGTCTTTGTCTCCCCACCCCAAGATCTCCTGAACCCCAAGTTTTCTTTCTCCCAGCACCTTTGTTTCAGCCCTTTTCCACCTGGAGGCCCCTTGCAGGTGTCACGCCTGGGCCTGCCTGAGGCTAAAGGTCATCAGGCTGAGGTCTGAATGCGGTCAATGAGTAACCAGCAATCAAGCTGGCGCCCTGGGCACTGACTCTCCCCATAGACACCAAGTCAGGGGAAAGATATGAGGGAAGACAGCCACCAACCAGAGAGACAGGACAAGGTAACCACAAGCAGGATCCCCAGGAAAGAGCATCAAGAGAACAGAAAATAAGACCTGGAGACAGTGCACAGGTTTCCATCAGTGTGGGGTAGGAGGCCGGACGTGGTTCTGCCAGGCCTTTCCGTGAGGGTCGCAAGCACAAGGCCTGAACCAGCGGAGGGGATGAGGTCAGCGAGCTGCCCCGCCCCGTGCGCCGCGGAGCCCCTTCCCGTGCTGAGCTCAGCATGACTCAGCACTGCTCTCGCCTGGCCACCCGCCCAGACGCCCCTTGAGGACCGATACCTTCCTGGCCCCCATATCTGGGGATCCCAGTGTCAGCTCCCCTGCTTGGGCTGCTTCTACTGCCTCAGGACTGCAAAGCAGGCCCTGAGCGCTCACCCACGCGCCAAGTGGCTTCAGCTCCCAGGGCTCCTGCATTATGGTCAAGTTCTCTACTCCAAGATCAGGGTCCTGGTATGAACCAGTCCTATCAACATGGACCGGGCACACTTCAAAAAGTATGTTTGACCAAAGATAGACACCCTGTCTGTAGGTCCTCAGACCTTGTTCCTGCAGGACCCAGGGCTGTGCTTTGTGACTGAAGGAGCAGGTGTCAGGGAAGACTCTTGGACAACTTCAGAGACACTGCTCCAGGGCAACGAATGCTCGGAGCCTCTGGAGTTCCCTGTAGAAGAGTCCCCAAGGAAAGCCAGTCCCAGAGAGAGTCCCCCCCAAAGAGCAAGTCATTTCCTTCCTCTCCATATCTCTAATCCCAATAAGATACTGCGCCCAGGAAACAGCTCCAAGAGGCCCAGTCTACTCAGGACTCCAAAGGGCTGGCCAGCCTTCCACGTGTTGCTCCACCTTTTCAAAACGCCCGTTAGGATTCCAGAAACACACACACACACACACACGCACACGCACACGCACACGACCCCCACAAAACAAAAACAAAAAAACCTGCCCTTCCCATCTTGCAGATCACTTAAAGGGCTTAAAGTCCCCTGGAGGGCTTGGTAGCAACACCCACTTCTATCATGAATGCGACCCTCCCAGTGAAAATCCAAGGGTTCCAGGTACTTCCCACCCCATTTCTCAGAGATCCCCAGGGTCCCCAAAATACCACCTCACTGCCTCCCAAACTTGGAGACCCTTTGTTGTGCAGAGCAAACCCCAGGCAACTGGAGGTACCCTGGTACCTCTGAGGTACCCCCTCTTCAGGACACCAGAAAGAACCACTTTCTTAGAAACAACCTTAGAAGCCGACTTGTTTCTTAAGACACCCCAAGACTTCAGTCATCACTTCATTAATCTCCCTCTTTCCTGAAAGACCCTCTGAAGCCCTTTATTTCCCAGGATCCCTTCCACCAATCCCTCCCCACCCCAACCCCCGATTTCACAACAGCCAGGCGCTCCAGGCGCGTGACTTCCCCACCCCCGGGCGGGGGCTTAAACTCCTATCTGCTTGTCATTGGTCAGGCCCGGCCTTCAGGCCCCGCCTCCCGCCCGCGCAGATTGGCTGACCTCCCGCCCTAAACGCCCCACCTCCCGGGGCCAGCGCACTATAAAGCAAGCCGCCCTGCCCGCAACCTCAACCAACGAGCCTGGAGGTCCCACGGATCTGCTTCTTGCTTCAACAGTGTTTGGACGGAACAGAGCCGGGGACTCCCTTTTCTTCCAGCTTCCAACCGCCTTCCAATCTGATCTCCATTTGCAATCTCCGGGACCATCTGTTCGCCCAGGACCTGCTTCCAGGACCAGCCAACTCTGTTTTTTGTGGTTAGCTCCTTCTTGACGACCATGACCTCCCAGATTCGTCAGAATTATTCCACCGAGGTGGAGGCTGCCGTCAACCGCCTGGTTAATTTGCATTTGCGCGCCTCCTACACCTACCTCTCTCTGGTAAGGGGTCTCTGGTGAGGGGACCCGGGGCGCCATGGGCCCAAGTTTCCCCAACTGCGCACCTCTGGCCTCTGCGCATGCGCCAGCCTTCTTTGTTCAGCTGGAACTCGGAGGGCGGAGTCCGCACGGCTGGTGTCGCCTCGTGGCGACCCTAGCTTTCTCCATGTCTTCCCGCAGGGCTACTATTTCGATCGTGACGATGTGGCTCTGGAGGGCGTGGGCCACTTCTTCCGCGAGTTGGCTGAGGAAAAGCGCGAGGCCTCCGAGCGTCTCCTCAAGATGCAAAACCAGCGCGGCGGCCGCGCCCTCTTCCAGGACGTGCAGGTAAATACTGCGTGTGGAGAGCGGACTACAACTCCCTGGAGGCCGTGCGCGCCCTTTGAGGGGTTGTGGGGGCTTATGGGAGATCGAGTTGGGTCTTGTGCGGGTTTATTGTCGAGGACCCGGAGGCGCGGAGAACTCCCCCAGACGCCACGGTACCGGCCGCTTGGGGTCTAGGTCCAGGTTTTGGGGACCTGTAGCTGTTAGAAACGGGGGGGTGATGAATGCAAAGCTCTGTGGGCCAGATCCCTGATCCTCGACAACTGCTGGGAGTTGTAGTGGGGGTGAGGGATGGGTGGCCAATCTGAAATGTTTGTCTTCTCTTCAGAAACCTTCTCAAGATGAGTGGGGCAACACCCTGGACGCCATGGAAGCTGCCTTGGCTCTGGAGAAGAACCTGAACCAAGCCATTTTGGATCTTCATGCCTTGGGTTCTACCCGCACAGACCCACATGTAAGTACTCCCCTGTCTTTTGCCTGGGCAAATAACTCCCAAGCCTCCTTCCCACATCTGCCTTTGTTAGCAGAGGCAGCTCTCCCTCTTCTCCAGAAATTGGACTTCTAAGTTCTCCTGTCCTCTCTCTTAGCTCTGTGACTTTCTGGAGAACCACTTCCTTGATGAGGAGGTGAAGCTCATCAAGAAGATGGGGGACCACCTGACTAACCTCCACCGTCTGGCAGGCCCCCAGGCTGGCCTGGGGGAGTATCTCTTCGAAAGACTCACCCTCAAGCATGACTAGAGGCCCTGGAGTACAGTGGCCTTTGATGGGGCTCCTTTGCATCTCCTGGCATCAGGGCTTTGGCCTGAGCCTCTCCCTCTAACCCCTAGGCAGCTTTTTAACCACCGTGGAGCCCCTCCCAAGCCTTGGACCAAATAAAAATTAAAGCTTTTTCCAGCATCTGATGGTTTTGTGTGTGTTTGTTCTTATCTATTCTGAGGCAGGATTCCATTTGTTGGGTATGTTGCAGTCAAGGCTTCTCAGTTTGTCTGGCTCAATGTTAACTGCTCCTGCCAGACGGTGAAGCCAGCCTCCAAGGAGTCTTAACATACAGACCTGGGGTTGGTAGCTGGAAGCAGACACTGCTAGAACTCCGCCACCTGACCATGTGTCTTAGTAGGAATTGGACATAGGGTCTTGCTGAGTCCTCCAGGCTTGCATCAAACTAGGAGTTGCTGGGATTACTGGCCTGCACTGCTTCAGTCAGCTTTTTTTCTAGTGTCTGGCACTCCTAGATATGAATTCTACCTCTGAGCTATACCCCCAGTTCCTGGAATGGCTCTGTTCAACGAGTAATAGAGGTTAGGTATCAGACCAAGATCTTAAAAATTGAAGACAAATCCCAGAGGCTGAAGCAGGAGGATCACAAGTTTGAGGTCAGTCTTAGCAATTTAGCAAGGCTGCAAGCAACTTTTTGAGACCCTGTATCAAAAAATAAAAAGGGCTGGGAATGTGGCTCAGTGGTTAAGGCCCCTGGGTTTAATCCCTGATTTAAAAAAAAATAGGATGACAAGTATAATTATTGACCCCTTTATATGGGCAAATTAAGGCCATTACCTGGGTGTGATCTCCAAAGGCTATTTTCTACACCTTGGAGATAATATTGGCCCATGCTGAAATAAAACCACAAGACGCACACATAAGAATTGCACACATAAGAAT